TAACACAAAATACATTTTTAAGATTCATGTTCGATTTCATTTGATTAAATCAGAACAACATCTTACTGATTGGTTTTCCTGCTCGTCAGTTTTACTCAAGTAACTTCAAAAGCTCAATAGGGAATTGACTTAAGTATTTTTCTTTCTATTAAATTTTAAGTAAGTTTCTTTTTGGTCTCTTATATAAATTTAAATATTGATATCTTTAGATTTTATAACTACAAAAAGAAACATTATGTTATTCTCTAAAAACTAAATGTAGCAGCACTGATGATGATAAATTGAGTATTTTATATAATATTAATTAGGTTTAATATGATGATTTTATTAACAAAAATATTAATAAATGAATTTTGTATAACAAATTTAATATATAAGTGTTTCTTGTTTGACCAAATAACTAAGACATCTATACCAATAGATAAAATAGATTAAAAAAAGAGACTATTAGACTTGATGAGTCAAGTCAATAATAGGTTAAATTATAATTTAGGTTCTTTATTTTATTTTTTTATATCCATTTTGATCCCATATATTTTAATATATTTATTTTAATTTTTTATCTCTTAAATTTAGGTCAATTTAATTCTTTTGAATTATTTATTTGACTAATTTAAGACTTGAAACTTATTTTATTAGATTTTCACTTATATGAAAATTATTGAATGTAATTAATGTTTAAATAAAAAATTTATTATGCATTATCAATTAAGTTTAATATGGTAATTTCATTAATAAAGGCATTAATATTTAAATTTTGTATGACAATAATTCAATAATAAGTAATTTTTGTTTGACCAATAATAATATTTATACCAATAGATAAAAGAGATAAAAAAAAAAACCTACAAAATTAATGACTCACGTCACACTATTCATAAATAATAATAGGCTAAGTTATAGTTTACATCTTTTATCTTATTTTTTCAAATTTATTTTAGTCATTTATCTTTTAAAATATTTATTTTAATATATTATTTCTTAAATTTAGGTCAATTTAATTCTTTTGAATAATTTTTTCAAGAAGTGAGAGATAATCATGACAAGATAAAAGAAATGTATTAGACTTGAATTGTAAAATTATAAAAACATGTTGAACTTAGGCAAAAATCTATCTTGACTAGTTGTTTTTATTTTTTATCTTATAATTAAAAGGTATAACTTATTTTCATCAATTTCGTTCACTTTAGAATAAAGTGATATATTTAATTATGAATCCATCTTTATTTGTTAACCATTGATTAAAAAAAAATACAAATGTCAAACTACTTGTATCAATAACTTTTGGTTGATTTAATTATTTCTACTTCTAAACTTGTAACGACTTGACTTGGCTCCTACATTGTATAGCTACTAGCAAAAATGCCTAACTTAAGACTATAGACATGCAAATACGAGAAATATGTATTATACTACATGCATATAAATGTAAACAACTCTATAAATGTGTGCAATATAAATACAATAATCCGGTAAACCACTAGTGAAAAATTAGTCTTTTACGTCACCCTTTTGTCATCGGACATAAAAATACGCAATGTAAAAAAGATGCGGTGACATTTTTGAAAATAAGTCAAACTATTTTACGTCGGATTACATAGGATCCGACGTAAAAACCTTTTTATATCCCTGGGAGCGCCTTCGTCTTCCTCGCACGCGCGACCTAGGTTATTCTGAAAAAGCGTTTGGCCGATTTTCGGCGAAGGAAAGAAGGAGTTCTGGTTGCGTTTTGATCTGCGACGACTTCCGGCGAAGGGTGTCTCGTCATTGGTGGGTCATTCTCCATCATTTTGACCGATTGGAATCTGGTGAAGGGCGTTTCTCAATTTTCAGTGAAAGTGAGTTCCTATTTCCGGTGAGCTTTCCGTTCATTTCCCTTTCATTACCTATATATGAATCTTCGACATTTTTGTTTGGGGAGGCTTTGGCGTCGTGGTAGATGCTGGGGTTTGTGAGGTCGGGGATGGTGACGGAGAGCGATTGGGCGGCGCGTGAGGTTGTTTCATGCTGGGTTTGTGAGGTTAGGATGGAGGACGGTCTTGAAGTCGGCCTAGGGCTTCCGGTCGGCAATGCGGGAGAGGTAGACGCCATCGATGACGGGGAGGATGTTTATGTCAGACATGGTGGATCCGACGTAAATTTACGTCTCCCGCATTAACGTTGGACATATTTATGACGTATAAAAACCCCAAAATAACCAACGTAAAATACTTCTTTTGCACTAGTGAATATACATCTTAAGTTCTTGGTCAAGCAACTATTACTATTTACACAAGTCTACCATCAGCTAGCAGTCAACAAAATATTCTCTAGCTCTTGTGCCACTAGGTGGCCTTCACAGCAACATTTTAGTCCTATCCTTGTCCTACTTCCATATCACATATGATCATCGCAGTTCACAATACATGGAAACATGCAAGGATAAGTTAGAGTAAAAAAGAAACAACATATATACAACACAAGAACATCACGTCATCATCTTATCTTTAACAACACAACAATACAGGACATCACAATATACAATAAAGATCAACACAACAACTCAAGTTCAACACAACAACACATTTCATCACAAATCAAGACAACATATGAACAACACAATCAACTCAACTTAATAATATAAAATAACTAAAATTATAGGTCAAACTAGATCTTTGCCTAGAAAAACTCCTCCCAACACCACTAAAATTTCTAAGAAATACTCAAATCCTAGAATTTCTCAAACTTGATAACTCAACTTAATAATATAAAATAACTAAGAAAATTATAACAATTTCACAACTTACATGTTACAAAACATAAGTAAGGTCATTCTTGAGAGAATTTTATAAAGGAAAGCTCACCTTGCCAATGGAAGCTTTCTGCCCTAAAGAAAAAGGTCAGTGGTTGATGATATATGCATAAAGTGGAAGAAAAAAAACCTCTTGCTGAATGGGTGAAGAATATAAAAAAATTATAATATATTTAAAATCATATGAAATTGATAAACGTCCATTTTCATCCCTTTATTTGTTTTTTTATAAATAAAAGGCCGGTTAAAGATGTAAATATTGACTTTTGACATTAATTAAAAATTGGATTCAACATCCTTTCCGTCTATGTAATTGTGTAAATGTTCGTTTTAATTTCTTATTTTTAAAATATTAATTTTTATCCTTATTTTTTTTAAATGTGTGAAAATTTATTCGTGTCACAGACTCAATTAATTCAATTTAATAGTGATGTTTAGTCAATATTATTGATTTTAGGTTTTTTGGTTCGTCCCTGGAATATTCACCGCTGATATAGCAGTGACTAATCTCCTCGCTACGTTAGAGACACCTCAAAGAGTGGGATAGCTGGCTCCAAAATTTTAGGTTAATAATTAGCGCGTGCATATATATATATATAT